GAACATACAGGAATAGTTTACCCCTAGAAATAGGACGTGTCACTTTATTGTAACCTTCAAACGCTTGCTATATAAACTGTTTTATCCCAAAGTCTATCCCTACCAGAACTCATTACTTACTTCTAAAACGCATCAGTCATTAGAACACTAAAACGCTCAGACTCATTAATACACATCATGACACTAAATAGACTCTAAGACTTCGCATAAATTCGTAAAAAAAACTATAACTAAAAATAATTTCTTAATAATTTATTATACATTTATATATATACATTAATGTCCTTTTAATGTTCACATACTTTCTCTTTTTGGTACTCTGATACTCCTATTCATCTTCTGGTCGAGGTCGAACAACCCTGCATCTAAACTGAAATGAGGATTAATTCCAAACCATCTATCTCATAACCACTGAAATTCCATGAACGATCCAATTCTACCATTTGAAGACGCTGGCGAACATGCTGTAAATGAGTATTCATGATCTGAAATGAAGAAGCAACTGGTTTTCAAACAGTTTTCAACATTTTTCTGAACTTACGAATGCAGTCCGCCATGCAGACACAAATGGAGCAAATGGAGAATTCTGGAACCGACCTCAGCACCATTTGATGCAGTAAAACAACTTCACATGACCTCATCTAGTTTTCGCATCCACGATCAAATTTCTTTCCTGTTATAAAACTACGATAAGACTACTGAAAAAATAGAATAAATATATCACTGATCTCAACATAATACATCAATAAACTTTGAGCCGAGGGTGCTGTTCACAACAAAGTTATGTAAGAGGATTGACTTCAAGCTTTTTTTCCCAGATATTTGTATTACATTCATCTGATGTCTGGGTTTTTTTTAATGCGAAGACAATATTTCTATATCTCTTTATGTGCTACACAAACAGACTTTATAGCAGACTGTTCCGTCTGACTCTAATGTCAGAAAGAACAACCAAACTGTAAATTCATCATACATCAATTTGTGTAATTTATATAATAACTTATCCATGCCTGTACAATTGGTATGTTCCTGCATAAACAGGAAGAAATATATATTATTATAATCAGATGGAAGATACGACGAGTGTTTTAATAGTCATAATAAGTTTTTTGTTAGGATGTTGTGATGTGCTTGAATTGAAATAGAATTTTAATATTATTTATTACCCTCTTCTGATTTGACCTGCGGTAATAATATCTTCCATATCTCTGGTATTTGCATTGAGTCATTTTTGTTGCATGTGTTGGGTGTGGACTCGATAAATAAGGATTCCGTAATCAACCTCTCTCTCCACTTAGCTGTATAACTTTTTAGAATTTTAAGCCTATCCCACCCTATTGTTATAATTATATCAAAAATACATATGGTCTTCCTATAAGGAAGCTTATCAATAAACTCACACGACTTTGTCGAAGAGAAGCAAGATTCACAAACCACCGGATTTTTAATAGTAGATGTTTAAAAAATCATATAATTCCAGAATATTTACGCATACGCACTCCAATTGCTTCAAGGAAAATATCATCAGCAGCTGAACATCTCAGTAGATTATGTCTAAGAGAGGAACTACATCGAGTTACTGTGAAACTAAATAATATACGAAATGAAATCGAAAAACTCAAACAGAAACTCAAATGTATGGTCAATGACAAAGATTATGTAATCGTTGTTGAAACATCCGAAAAAGCTAGAGAATCAGCCTTAAGAAAATCAAAAACCACACAAATCAAAAAATTCAACAAACTAATGGAAGAAAAGAACACAACAAATGAAATTGATGTCAACACTTCATCCTCTATCGACAGAACAAAATGGGTGATCAACCTCTCATCAAGAGAACTAAGCTCTAGTGAGATAAAAGTACTTGAGAAAGGACTAAATTTTAACGTAACAGTTAATAAATTAAAACCAGAGGGCGTTATTCCTAACATAGAAGCAGCACTAGGTTCAATAGACAAGACAACAGCAGAAGAGGTTAGAGCACAATGTGCGTTAACCCTGAAAAATCAAAAGAAGGCAAGATCAAACTTAACAAAATCAGAAAGGGAAGCTTTAATTAGTCTAAAACAGGATAAAAATATTGTCATCGCAAAAGCGGACAAAGGAAACGCCACCGTAGTTCTGAATAAATCTGACTATATCAAGAAAGTCAGTGAACATATTGAAACGGGTCCATATGAGGAAATTAAGAAGCCTGTAGATACAATAATGAATAAGGTAAAGAAATCTACAGCGGAATTAATACGGAGAATGAAGCTGTCACTGGGTGAATCTAAATGGTTTACTTTAATGCCTAAAACTAATAATACTAGTAGAATATATGGTACTATTAAAATACATAAACCAGGTTACCCCATAAGACCAATAGTAGATTTTAGAAATACTCCCACTTATGAATTATCAAAACACTTAGCTCTAATACTTTGTCCCATTAGAAATCACTCAAACTCTAGACTAACTAATTCATATGAGATGAAAAGTAAGCTAAATGACATTCAACTAGAGAATGATGAAAAAATGGTTAGTTTTGATATAACTAGTCTTTACACTAATATACCAGTCATTATGGCCTTAGAAGCAGTTAAAAAAGAACTAACTGCGGATCCTGAACTGAATCATAGGACAAAGCTGTCCATTGAACAAATTATGTTAGGGATTCAGTTATGTCTCACACCTACCATCTTTAAGTTCCAAGGCAAAATATATAAACAAACAGAAGGTGTAGCAATGGGATCACCAATATCCCCTATTGTAGCAGACATATTTATGGACAGCTGGGAAAGTAGTGCTCTTAATACGTTTAACCCCACTCCAAAAATATGGTGGAGATATGTGGATGACACTTTCACGGTGTTAAAAACAGAACATATCTCTAGCTTCCTGACACATATAAACTCACAAGTAGAAGGAATTAAATTCACATTTGAATCAGAAAATGAACTAGGAGAATTAGCTATGTTAGATTGTAAAATAAAACGAATAGAAGAAGGCAAACTACACACCATTGTTTATAGAAAACCAACGCATTCTAATAGATATTTAGACTTTAATTCGTCTCATCCGTTAACTGTTAAGGCAGGCTTAGTAAAGTGTCTAACAAATCGAGCCATAGCACTAAGTAGCACAAAAAAAGACCTAAATGGTGAAATAAAACAGATAGAAGAAGCGTTGGTGTTGAATAACTATCCTATAAAATTCATTAGGAAGATCACCAAAAACCAAAAGCAAAATAAAAATAATGGTGAAACTACTAATGATAACACAAATAAGAAAGAATATAAGTCATCCACTGTTATACCATATAAGGAAAGCACATCTGAGGCCCTACGTAGGATTCTTAATAAAGCAGGAATTAGGGTGGCATTCAAACCTACAAACTCACTCAGAGACAAGCTCTGTAGGCTAAAAGACCCGGTGGATCCAATTAAACAAAATAATATAATTTACAAAATACCCTGCAATAACTGTGAGGTCAACTACATAGGTCAAACTAGTAGGTCAGGGATAGTCAGATTAACAGAACATAAGAATTTAGCTAAGGTAAGAATGGTTGACCCTAAAAAGATAAGTAATTTAGAAAAAAGCTCAGCTATTGCACTTCATGCAATAACAAACAACCACACAATAGGGTGGGATAGGGTTAAAATTCTAAAAAGTTATACAGCTAAGTAGAGAGAGAGGTTGATTACGGAATCCTTATTTATCGAGTCCACACCCAACACATGCAACAAAAATGACTCAATGCAAATACCAGAGATATGGAAGATATTATTACCGCAGGTCAAATCAGAAGAGGGTAATAAATAATATTAAAATTCTATTTCAATTCAAGCACATCACAACATCCTAACAAAAAACTTATTATGACTGTTAAAACACTCGTCGTATCTTCCATCTGATTATAGTAGATCAATAACACTCGTATTAATGCCATCAGTCAAACCAGAAGAAGATAATAAATAATCTTAAAATTCTATTTCAATTCAACCACATTCTAACAAGCAGCTTATTATGACTGTAAAAACACTCGTCCAATTTTCCCATCTAATTGCAATTGATCAACAACACTCGTACGATTATTTCTGAATGTACATTATCTCACATTGATTTTTAATCCAATATCTAATCCATTCCACATATGTATATAAATGAGAGATCAAAGTTGTGTGAGTAACTTGATATGATTATGAGCAATAGTTTGTGCTCGAAACGTCATCAGTTCATATAACTGTAAACACTGTGCGATTTATCAAAATAAAATCTTATCTATAATGGAATTATACTCTACCACAGTGCCCAAGTTTTATAGTTACACCACCATATCTTCTGATCAGGTAGCGCCACCCTCCGTCCTTTTTTCCTCAGAAATATATTTTACGTCAATGAAACTTTTAGAACCACATATAAACATGAATTATAATAATGAATATTGTTAATGTATAATAAACGAACATCTTATGGGTGTTAGATAGTAGATATTTAGTAATAATATCAATATTAATATTAATTCATCAGGAAACATGAATGATTAATGAATAACTACGAATTATGATTAAGAGACATGATTCAAATGAAGCCGAGTCTTTGTGTGAAGCCTGTTTTATCAGTGAGCAAAGATAGTAATTAAATAAGTGTTAAAATAAAGGCAGTAGGCATATCAATACACTCATCCCTATAGAAATAATAAAACAAGATTTACTAACTAGTCAGTTAGAAGCTTTTTAAGAATTATTGGCACACAACATTACAACCTTCGTAAACACGAGTTCTATGCAACGGAGAAACATTAAATCCCTATACACACACATGATGCATAAGTTAGGCATTATGTGGAAATAAACTGAACGATTATTAACTCGTATATGATAATCATACTAATAATAATAAACATTGCTGGGGGAGGATGGGAAAGAAATTATAGTCTAACTGAAGTGGAAAAGCCGTTTTTCTTAGATAAAACATAAACCGTATATAGTATATAAATATAAGCTATATACCTATCATGCCTTATCTCTATTCTCCGTGACTTTCGATCCAGCCTTAGACTCTTCATCTTTCGATGATTTAGTTGAACCGGATTTTGCGGTATCTGAAGCCGTTTTTGTTGATTCAGAGTTTTCACAACCTTCAGCTTTCTCTATCTTCGAAAGAATCTCCAATTCATCTTCTGGTTCGTCATTGTTAACACTATTCGACTTCTCTACAGTTCGTTGACCGTTAGCGGGCAATGAATTATGATGATATTGAGTAGACGTCAGCGGTGGTGCAGGATAACGTATCAATGAGATACCAGCTCTATCCTCTGATATAGGCTTTGGACTGAAGGCAATTTTCAAATGAAAAGATGAGTAAATCCAGATAAATGAATTGGCCGATGGTTGGCTAGAATTAAGGCCTCCAGTGCTTCGGTTAAGGTATCCCATTCGACTAATCCAAGAGAAGTCTTTTGGCCTTCTTTGGTCGTGAATATCACTACACGTGGTGGTGCCATTGCACCACTATCCGTGAATATTCTACAAATATCTTCTGGTGTAGAGTTAAGTGGAGCATTGAAGAAATGAAGTGCACGAGAAGGTTCCAAAATCCGACTTTTTGCTGCCACCATTGAATATCTAAATCGATTGTTTGGATCCATCATATAATTCTTCATAACCGGTGATCTGTCCGATAAGGTCCCCAGATTCTCGTTCTCTTTAAGCTCTGTGATCTTACTGTGATGAAGATGTATATTCTTCCCAAAAACGCACACTCCGTTAAAGTATCGATGTTTAAGATATGCAAACATTATTGGTCCCATATCTTTCAGTTGCCTAGTTAATAACGAACTAACTTTCCCCACGACGCAACCTGGATTACATTTGTGGAATATACTCTTATACCGATGGATTAGTATCAGTTTGTAATACAACGTCACAATTGTAACTTACAACATAACTGATCGTATCTGTAAAAATGAGCGACTTTATTGCATATCCCCTCAATGACGCTTGTTGCTATGTTGCTATTGGTTTCAAGTGGCCTTGGTCTCCGGGGAAGATTTAACTGATGTAATATTGCGATTTCGTAGACATAACTCAGGCTCATACGTGAAAAACTATAACCCTGGAATAAAGACAAGTTGTTTAGAAGGTAAGGAGGGCATTATTTTTCAGTTTATTTGTATATATACTATTGTGTATCGAGTTGCACTGAGTTCTTAGTGCATTCATTTTCATTAAGTTCATTTTCATTAAGTGTAGTAATGAAGAATGGAATTTCTTCCACATCAGTGTTATTTAATTGAAGTTTTAATCTTTGTAGGCCCTTGAAGGAATAAATTCGGCACGGAGAACTGCTATGGAAACCGAAAGCACTTTTAGTTTACTAAACCTTACTGACTCCCTGTATAAATTTGATCTGTCAAGTGTTTATGTAAAGTCTGCTGATGTATTCAGTAAAGTAAATGTTGTAGTGCATAATTCCTAGACTTGTTGTAGTCATTGGTATTGCCGGGATATCACTTACTCGTTTTATGCAACCGAAATATCCGATTCTCACTTTATTGAGGAAACACTATGTTGCCTAAAAAAGTAGTGCGTCAATTTATGGGTTTCATCAAGCCTACAGAATGTTTTCTATTCATTGAATACTTTTTGCGAATTATCCTAGAAAACACATTTCCGAGTGGGATGCAACACAATGCTGAATTCTTAAACTGTCATCCTTACAACAGTTCAATTCAATCACACATATAATAATATGATAGTCTGTAATTAACTTCAAAGACTTATAAGGGAATATTCTCATCACCTTACGGTTCGCTGATGATATTGTCCACCTAGACTATGCGAAGTAACCCCTGATGCTGTAGAATACGAAAATAATACCGGTGTTTGATTATAGGTGTCTGCGTTCTATCTCATGAGTAAACCAGTATAATATGGCGAGTGCTGTTGAGGTTACGCATAAATGTTTAGGTGAGGAGGGTTAGTTAGTCTTCAAGGTAGGGAAGCTGAATAGGTTGAGATGGCTAGAATACGTGCTGGCATATCAAGCCATCGCCTTCCTCCAGGGACAATGCTGGCCAGCACATGTTAAGGTTTAAAATGCGTTTGGGTCGGTCAAATGAAAAAGTGATATTGGTTCATAAAATTGTTGACAGTCAGCTGGAAGAACTACCGGAGATATGACTGCAAATCTTTGGTACTGGTGTAACAACAGAAGACAAGGGCCAGGCAACAGATCGTTTTATTATGAAAATCAACACGTATTTATACATCTTTCAACTACATTATTATATATATTACAGAAAAAGGTTATTAAGTGGCACTAAATAATTGCTCAGTAAATGTACGTATATGTGATAAAAGTTATAAGGGGTAGAGTTGAAGTGGATAAATTACCAAAAAAATTAAAGATTGTATTATAACAAAAATGGCACTAAATAATTGATCAGTCAATGTACGTATATATGTGATAAAAGTTATAAGGGGTAGAGTTGAAGTGGATAAATTACAACCATGAAAGATTATTCTATAACAAAAATGTCAAGTGTTGTCTAAAAAATTATGAAAATTAGGAGTACGATTACGATAAGAATGAAGATGTGAAGTGAAGTGGAAAGAATTCAAGTGGTAAAATAAAATAAAAACTAGAAAGAAAATTATTATGACCAAGGTAAAGAAAGGGGTTTGACAAAACGCTTTTGAACACATAATATAGGTTTCTGTTCATGTATAGCTAAAGCTTCAGCTATGCATAAGTGCAGAAAACGTAAACTTTTGGATCGATTGGATTTTGCCATGTATATAACTTTGAAGGATGAATCACGTGGGGCTAAATGACCAGACTCTAACAGGTGATCACAGATAGACGACTTTGCAGTTCTACGTTCGCCTTTCATTAACCAAACCGGATAGTGTTCAGCTACACGTTTTCGGAGATTACGCTTACAACGTCCAATATAAACAGCTCCACAAGAGCAAGTAAAAGAGTAAATGCACATAGATGTGGACAAAAGCGGTAATCTATCCTTGACGTTTTGTCTGATCATATTTCGGCTGGTAAAAACTAGATGCAGGTCAGCTGCAGGAAAAGTACGTTTAATACATTTAGATAAACGGTTTTTAATCAATTCTGAAATGGTGTCACCTTTGAATGCAAGACTCATAAACAGCTTTTTCTTTGGTACTGTGACTTGTCTCGGGGTGGATTCTTTCTTGATGTTACGTTCAATGAACCTTGTAGGATAACCATTATTAAGGAGATTTGATCGAAGGTTGTCTAGTTCCCTATCGATTGTCTCTGGAGAGCAGATCTTACGAATTCTGGAGCATAAGGAGTGAATAAGATTTCTCTTTCTCCCTAAAGGTACCCAACTGTTGAAGTTAGTGTACTGCCCAGTGAATGTTGGCTTTCGGTAAATCGACCTTAGAAGCGTTCCATTCTCTCTTCTATCTAGCTTAACATCAAGAAAGTGAAACGAAGAATCCGACTCTTCTTCGATCGTGAAAAGCAAAGATGGGTGAGAACCATTAAATATTCTAAGAAGTTCAGCAGTTGAAGTGTTTTCATCACATACAATGAAGGTATCATCAACATATCTTTTATACATAAACAGACTAACGATGGTTTCCTTTAGTGGGCCATTCTCTAAGCTATCCATGAAAACGTCCGCTAAGAGCGGTCCTAAAGGGGACCCCATGGCGACTCCATCTCTTTGGTTGTAGATGACATCATTAAATCTAAATTGCACATTCAGTGTGCATCTCAATAGTAGTTGTTTAAGATAATCAGTTGGTAAGCCAATGTTCGTGTTATTTGATTCAATATACTCGCATAGATAGCAGATAGTGTCTACTAGTGGTACATTTGTGAACAATGAACAAATATCTAACGAAATCATATGCTTACCAGTCACATTAATTTCATCAACACAACTGACGAAGTCAAAAGTGTCGGAAAGACTATGTTTACATAGATTCAATCTAACTGGTTCCAGAATTTCCGCAAGCCATTTAGCGGTAGAGTGATACGGCGAATTCAGCATATCCAAGACAGGTCGCAGAGGGACATCATCTTTGTGCACCTTTGGGAGACCATATAAACGAGGGATAGTTGAACCAGATGGTTTAAGCTGTTCATACATATATGGAGTAATGATGCATTCTTGCTTCAATTTCGTCAAAGTTTTAGATAAATCCTTCTCAATATTATCTGTCTTGTCCTTTTGATCAGGTGATTTTAGAAATTTATCTTCATCACTCAGGATGGTACATAATTTATTGACATAATCATCACGATTAAGAATAACAATACCTGATCCCTTGTCTGGACGAATCAGTATTATGTTTTTGTTGTTAAGCAATTCATTTAGTTGTCTTTTGTGTTCTTTTGATAACATTTGTCGTTGTCTGCCTTGCGTTCTTTGGTACTGGTAATAACAATGAAGTAATGAAGATTTGAATTGTTCAACATCTTCGCTGGACATTGGACTCAAGTCATGTGTTTGATTCATGAGATTTTCAAACTGAACTTTTGTGTCTAATTCGTTGACTCTGGATGAAACAGTAGAGAACTTAAGACCCAAAGATAGGATTTGCATTTGAATATCCGACAAAGTTAAATTAGAATAGTTAAAAACGTATTTCTCTGGCGAATCCGGAAACTTAAAGTGAGACTCGATTGTTTTACAACTTTTCAGTATATTTATTTTAACATCTTCAGATCGTTTCTTTATAACGTCAGAAATATAATCCACAAACAGGCTACATTCTGTCTCTGTCAATTCAAACAAGAAATGCCTACGTTGAGATACGTTATTCTCAAGTTCCGGAAGACGCGTTTGTATGGCATCGATCAGGTTCAACGCATGACGCTTAAGAGTTCGACCATTTGGATAAATATGATTACGGCGTAAAATTTTCCAGTAAAATTTTGGATATTCTCCATTCTTAATGCAGCTTTTGAGAGTATCAGAATTAGCATTCGCTTCCGACTGTACAGCTTGAAAATGAAGTCGTTGAAAAGAAATTTCTTCGCTGAAAAAAAAACTGTGTTTTTACTTATGAATAAATGGGTATTTTTCGAGATTTAAAGGCGTACATTATTATAGACAAGCGCAGTCATCTGATTGGTTGTTTAGGTAGACAAACGCAGGCTTCTGATTGGTTGTTTCGGGATTCCTTGACAAATAGAGTTCTCTCTGCGAATCATATTCTGCCACGTTAACTTTGCTGTGATTGGTTGTTGACTCAGGCTTGTTCATATTTTCTCACGGCCCATATTAGTGACCTAGACCTTAACGTAGATTAGTGCCAACCAATCGGCTAGCAGCCTGCTCTCACCACACTCGTCCCCCCGTCAAATACGTGCGACTGAAGTCGGCTTGATCTACTTGGTGCAGGCGTCATCGTTGGCTTGTCTCGCTGTATCCATTTCTGGA